GGAGGCCGAGGTGGGTGGATCACTTGAGGTCAGGAGTTCAAGACCAGCCTGGCCAACATGGTGAAACTGCATCTTTACTAAAAATACAAAAAAAAAGTAGCCGGGCATACTGGCAGGCACCTGTAGTCCCAGCTACTCGGGAGGCTGAGGCAGGAGAATCACTTGATTCTCAGCCGAGATCATGCCATTGCACTCCAGCCTGGGCAAAAGAGTGAGACTCCATCTCAAAAAAAAGAAAAAGAAAAAAATACAAAAAACTTAGGGCCAGCACAGTTGGCTCACACCTGTAATCCCAGCACTTTGGGAGCCCAAGGCAGGCAGATCACTTGAGGTCAGGAGTTCGAGACCAGCCTGGCCAACATGGCGAAACCTCATCTGCATTAAAAATACAAAAAAGTTAGCCAGGCGCGGTGGTGTGCGCCTGTAGTCCCAGCTACTTGGGACTCTGAGGCAGGAGAATCACTTGAATTCAGGAGGTAGAGGTTGCAGTGAGCTAAGATTCCACCACTGCACTCCAGCCTGGGCGACGGAGCGAGACTCTGTCTCAAAAAAAGAGAAAATTCTACACAAAAGTGCTTAACATAAACTTTGTTTCATGTACAAAATTATTTAAAGTGTTATATAAAATTACCTTCAGGCTGTATGTATAAGGTATATATGAAATATAAATGAATTTTTCCAGGCATGGTGGCTCACACCTATAATCTCAATACTTTGGGAGGCTGATGCAAGAGGATCGCTTGAGGCCAGGAGTTTGAGACCAACCTGGGCAACATAGTGAGACCCTGTCTCTACAAAAAATTTAAAAATTAGCTGGGCACAGTGGTGCACACCTGTAGTCCCAGCTACTCTGGGCGCTGAGGTGGGAGGATCTCTTGAGCCACTATACTCCAGCCTGAGTGACAGAGTGAGACCTGTCTCAAAGAAAAATGAAACAAATGAGTTTCATGTTTAGACTTGCATATGCATTCCCAAGATATCTCATTGTGTATATGCAAATATTCCAAAATCCAAAATCTGAAACATTTCAGATAAGGGATGCTCAGCCTGTATCCCCATTTACTATCACTATCATTTTGTATTGGAGAAAGATATTTCAAATCTCCAGAAGTAGGAGGAGTATAATCTCAGAACTCCGGTGTGTTTTCAGTTCAACAGTGGCATTTCAGAAGCACCTGCCCCCATTCCTGACATTTTCTTCATGTTTGCGGGGACCATTCAGAAATCAGAAGGTGCCTTCAGCAGGCTGGGCCAGCTACCCAGGGACACAGCCAGGGACAGTGGGAGGGCTGGGCCTGAGCCTGGACTCCTGCATTGAAGGCTGGGCTGTCCCCTCCAGCATACAGGTCATGTGTGACCTTGGGAAAGGAGTTGGGCCCTCTGGTCTTTTTCCTCCCTGGGTAAAGTTGTGGGAGGGGGCGCTGCTGCTCCCCAGTCCCTCCTGGGTTCATAGGGGTCACAGGAGGATCTGGAGGCTAGGCTGGCCTGCTAAAGGGACCAGCCAGTTTTTGGAGTGACATTCCAGCCAGAAGCATCCATCCTACCCCGGGTATGAGGGGAGAAGTAGAGGGTGTCACATACTGTGACAGAGGTGAGGTCATGCTGCCAACCCCACTCTGAACCCCAGCTCATCGAGCGGTCCCCCCGCACCCTGCCGCGCTCTATCACCTACGTGAGCATCATCATCTTCATCATGGGTGCCAGCATCCACCTGGTGGGCGACTCTGTCAACCACCGCCTGCTCTTCAGTGGCTACCAGCACCACCTGTCTGTCCGTGAGAACCCCATCATCAAGAATCTCAAGCCGGAGACGCTGGTGAGGCCACCTCCTGCTCCCTGCCTGTAAGCCCTAGGGGCACAGTCTGTCCTGGGAGGCTGAAGAAATGGCCCCCACCCCTCGCTGCACCTGTCCTTCCACCAAAGGCATTCTGCTAGGTGAGGGCACCGTCGCCTGTGCCAAGCTAGGATGCTCAAGTGTTCTTAGGAAGTGGTGCACAGACTGGCTCCCACCTGGGCCCCTGTAACAGGGCAAGGCCCCGGGTAGGGAATAAGGCAGTGGGGGAGGCCTGGGACTGGGAGAAGCGTGGTCAGAGGGGATGTGTGGGGCCCCAGCACCTCCCTGGACTGACATCGACATCCCCCCGACTCTGCCCTGCCCGTGCCTCCCTCAGATCGACTCCTTTGAGCTGCTGTACTATTATGATGAGTACCTGGGTCACTGCATGTGGTGAGTGATGGGCCCATCTGTCTATCCCAGGGGCCCCGACCACCAGCTAGCTTTGTCACTGGCCTCAGGGACACACTGAGCAAGGCTGTCTGGGCCGCAGGTCTCCATGTGTTGAGTCTCATCCCCTGTAAAGGCACTGTGAGCTCAACCTCCGGTGAGATTGTCCCGGAGGTTGCCAGGGAGACCCAACAGCTGTCCCAGGCCCGGGGCCCCAGCTTCCCGCCAGCATCGCCGCCCCCGCCCAGCCCTCAGTGCCCGCAGTGGCCAGCAGAGGGCAGCGAGCGGCTTTGGTCCTCCCTCAACAAGCCTGAGCCCTGAGGGTGGGGGAGGAGGACACGTCCCTGATAAACAACCCCCAGATGGTAATGTGGAGGGTGGGGGCGGAGCCAGGGACCCCCACCGGTGTCGGGCCTGCTCTTTGGGAGCGGAGGAAGCTGCAGGAAGTCAGCTGGATCAGGCTGGGGAGGGGCGTGCTGTTTGCACTCCCCCCTCTTCAGAACTCCCAGGGGGAGACCTCAGAAATGTGGCCTCAGCCTCAGGAGATCCCGGGCCCAGGCTGGGAGGCTTCATCTGTTCCAGCCTCCCATCTTACCCAGGAGAAGCTGAGGCCAGCGGGAAGAGGGCTCGGAGGGCTCCGAGGGCTCCGAGGGCTCCGAGGGCGGCAGCGCAGCTGGGAGGTGAGGGCCAGCTGTGGACCCGGCTCACTCCTCAGTTGGCGCTCACGGCACGTGCACCTTGCACGGGTGTTTCCAGGTTGTTTCGGGCTCTGCGATGTCAATCCTCCTGGCTCAGCTGGTCCAGGGTCCCTGGACAGGCCTCCTGCCATGTTTCCCTGTCCTTTGCCAGAGCCTCTTCCCACAGAAGGTTGGGAAAGGGTGGAGGGGCTAGGAGCAGAGAGCTGGAGCCCCAGCAGGAAGCGGGTGTGGGTGAGAAGAGGCAGGCGGGTACACTGGTGCAAGTCAGCACAGGTGGGAGAAAGGGAGCCAGTGTGTGGAGAGGGGAGAGGGTGGTATTTTGGGATGAGGTGTCTGAGGTGGGGGTGGGGCTGTGTGCTGAGTGTGGGTGCAGCGCTTCACCGAGAGGCCCCCACAGGTGCTGTTCTCTTTTTTAACATGTGGACCTCCATCCTCAGCCCGGGACGTGCCTCTGTCTCCAGGCTAGTGTGGGGCTGGTCTGCTGGCGTCTGCGGTGCATGAGACAGACAACCCCCCAGACGCCCCCCACCCCCACGGAGTGAGTGAGGTGCCCTGGGCAGTATGGATGCCTCTGGGCCTCTGACTCACACGTGCCTTGCCTTCCTGTTTCTGTTTCTGTCCCATCTTTGACGCCCAGCACAAGCAAGGTCGGGTGGAGAGGAGCGCCTCTCACCCAGGCTAGGCGTTTTGTAAACCATGACGTGGCACTCCGTGGGACCCCCGTGGGAGCGGGTGCAGAGGTGGTGGGGATGGGGACTGCTGAGCAGGCCTCTAAGGCACTGGCCTTCCTGTCCTAGGTACATCCCCTTCTTCCTCATCCTCTTCATGTACTTCAGCGGCTGCTTTACTGCCTGTAAAGCTGAGAGGTGGATGCCAGGGCCTGCCCTGCTCCTGGTGGCGCCCAGTGGCCTGTACTACTGGTGAGTAGACATCAGCATGGGGGCAGAGGCAGGGGCACGGAGTGAGCCACGGCAGCAAGATTCTGCACTTGCCCATGGACCTGTTGTGTGGCCCTGGGGAGACTGGCCCTCTCTGAGCCCCTGCTTCCTCTTGTGTCTAGTGGGGACTGTGACAATGCCCTGTGGTGGCCTCCTTGTTTCCATGAAGCCCAGGCCTGGGTATGGCAGGGAGGTGGGAGGACAGGGCGAGGTTGCACAGTCTCTCTCCATCCTCAAGCCCCTCTCGCTGTGTGCCCCATCTCAAGAACCCCAGTGTTGCCCTGGGGCCGGCACAATCCACCTCCGACACCAAGCCCTGTGGTGGGCTGCGGGTTCCGCCTCTGTGAAATGGGAATGATGGTACCTGCCTGTCTACCTCTCGGATGAGGAGGATGCTGAGGACAGAGAGGGGCTTTGTCAAATGTAAAGCACTATGGTGAGGCCAAAGACAGACTGAGGGGTTTGATGGCGTAGGGGCACCTGGTCTGGGGTCTTTGTCCCCTGTGGCTCTCTCTTCTTCCCATCGCAGAGGACTCTGGCCTCAGCCAGTCTCCCAGCCCTCCTCTGTCACTTCTGCCCTGGAGACAGGTCACCCTGGGATTGTGGGTGTCATGGGAAGGACAGGGTGGGGGCAGGACTGGGCCCTTCTCTGATGGGAGGCCTCCCTCAAAACGAAAAGGGCCTCCTTTCCTGGGCCAGCTCTAGACCGTCTCCCCGGCCTGTCGCCTGTGTGGCTGAGATGGCCCGCCGGGGCTCATCTGTGCGCTCTCTGGGGATTAAAAAGAGTGGGTGGCAGCCGCAGTGAGCGGGAAAGATGTTAGCGGAGCGCTTCCTGCGGGTCCTCACCCCGGCGTCCTGCCGCGGGGGCCGCTGCCGTTGTCGTGGCAATTGTTTGTTGCTTTCTCCTCTAGTCAGGTTTTGTTGTGTGGAAATACAAACTTAATGTGACCAGAGAAGCCAGAAATACACATTTGTAGGTATTCTGTTATTTAAATATTGGCAACAAAATCCACATCTAAAACCCAGTAACTATACCAGCTCCATCAGGATGCTGCCCGTGGGCTGTGGCTTAGAGCGGCAGGGTTCACTGAGCCCTGGCGCCAGAGGGCGCTCCTGCCTGCCTGGAGGGCAGCCTGGCTCTCGCGCACAGGGAGGGATGCCAGGCAGGACGGGGTTGCCACAGCAGCTGCCTCACTCCCCCCTGGCCTTCCCAGGTACCTGGTCACCGAGGGCCAGATCTTCATCCTCTTCATCTTCACCTTCTTCGCCATGCTGGCCCTCGTCCTGCACCAGAAGCGCAAGCGCCTCTTCCTGGACAGCAACGGCCTTTTCCTCTTCTCCTCCTTCACACTGACCCTCTTGCTGGTGGCGCTCTGGGTCGCCTGGCTGTGGAACGACCCTGTTCTCAGGAAGAAGTACCCAGGTGTCATCTACGTCCCTGAGCCCTGGGCTTTCTACACCCTTCACGTCAGCAGTCGGCACTGAGTCCCTGGCACCAGGCTGTGGCGCTCTGCTGGGTGGGAGGTGGGCCATAGAGGGCGTCTGAATACAGGGGTAGAGGGTGTGGTGTGGGTGTGTAACCGGAGACCGAGAGCATGAGTGGGGTGTGCCTTGTGTGCGTGGATTCGTGTGCGTGGATTTGTGTGTGGATTCATGTGTGTGTGTGTCTTGTGTGTGTGTCGTGTGTGTCTTGTATATGTGTGTGTAGAGTGCATCATTTTCAGACTCTATTATTTCCGTCAAGTTTCTGTTTGATTTGGATCATCTCAGGATCGGATTCTGTTTTAGAGTGTTTCTGGGCCAGGATCCGGGCCCCTGCCCTCCTCTGCACCTGACCACACTCTCCCTGCTGGGGCTGGTCTGTTCTTCTGGTAGCTGTGCAGGAGAGGGCTGGGTGGGGCAGAGGCCAGGAGGGGACCTGGTGTGTCGCCCACCCACCACCTGGCTCATCCCTCAGGCCCACCCTGACCCTACGTTACATAGGTTACGTCAGCCTCTGTGGCTGTTGAGTAAAGCATTTCTCCTGTCTGGACCTCATTTGCACTAGATGGGCCTGTGGTCCCAAAGTAGGTCAGTGGGTTGGGGTTGCTGACACCCCTTGGGGGCAGCTTTGGGACAGATGAGTGGCTCGGTCCTGTCACTGCCCTCTCCCTGCCTAGGGGCTATGTGCACTCCAGACCCTGCCCAGGCTCAGGCCTATGAGGTGTGGAGCCAGCCTGGCCCCCAGGAGCCAGAGGCGCCGCCAACTCCCCTGGCATTCCAGCTCTCCAGGCGACCCTCCTCTACCCAAAGCTCTGTCCCCCTGCTCCCACTCCAGAAGAACTGTGGCCACAGGCTTTGAGCGCCTGCATTCCTGGGTGGTGGGGCCAAAGGCCCTGAGCAAAAGCTGGAGCTCCTCTCATCAAAGCCTTTACAAGGTGCTGGGTCCAGAGGCTTTGCCTTGACACCATGACCCCTGGTTTGGAGGGAGGAGGAGCCTCCCCTACCTAGGACCCCTCCCATGGGGGGGTCTACAGAGTCGGGGACAGAAGGGAAGGGACCCACAGGAAGTCACGGTGGTGCCCAGGGATGGGAAGGGACCCCCAGCCACGGGGACCCGGGATTCAAGAATAAAGCAAACAGTCACAGCCGCAGTTGGTGTTGGAAGTGTTTCTGTCTTTTCTCCCTTTTGTGCTGAGGTGTAGCACACACGGTGCGCCCCACAGCGTGGTAAGTTGCTGTATCGTGAACCCCCACGCAGCCATTGCCCCATGCCGGTGTTTTCCATCTGTGCCGCATCCCCTGGGGACACCTACACACGTGAGGAGGGAGTTGGCCAAGGCACCCCAGCACACACTGACCTAACTCCGAGGAGCCACCTCATCTCTCCTGGAGCACCTTCCCACAGGCGGAGGGGTTCGGCCTGGCCACCTGCAGGCTTCCAGAGCCCAGGTGACTCCTTAACGTCCTTCTCTCCATCCTCTGCACAGAGGCAGCCTTTCCTCTATCCCTGCCCCGGGGTAAGGGAGCAGGGGCCTCCAACTCTGACAGGGAGGAGTCGAGTCCCCAGCTAAAATTCTGTGGGTCTAGAAACAGGTGTAAAGAGGCGACTCTGGGGATGTGATCTGGGGGAAAAGCACCCTTTCCACACAGGCAGTCAGGAAAGGAGAGGGGAGGGGAGAATGGGGCACAGGCAGCCCCTCCTGTCCCTGTGCCTGTGTGCAAACTGGCACGATGCCCCCCTTCCTATGGGCAGTGCAGCCCCTGACCAGCAACCCCTCGCACCTGGGTTGGGGGCCCTTGTGTAGGGCACACCTGTGCGGCCACACCTACTTGTGGGCCGGACCCTGGGTGTAGAGCCCCATAGACTCAGCTGTGGACAAAAACCTCACGCCCCAAACAGGGAAATGGGATCTCAAGGGGAAGAAGCCAGGGAAGCCTCACACCCTGCCCCCATTTCCTCCTATGTAGGGGAGGGGAGCAGCACGAACCCCTGAGGACTTGGGAGCATCAGCAGCTTCTGCGGAAGGGGTGGGGCTGAGGGTGGAGAGAGGACAGGAAGGAAGAAAAGGGGAGCCTTCCTGGCCAGGGCAACTGGCACTAAGAGGCCTCACTCCAAGCCCCCGAGGAGCCTGCAGTGGGGCTGGAGACCCAGCCCAGGCCCCTCCCCGACCTGTAAAGTCCCTAGAAGGCGGGAGGTGAACTGGCACAGGCTGGGAACCGGCTGTGCGCTGGCCACTTGATTTCGCCAACGGCCCTGTCATTCAGCTGGTGAGGAAACTGAGGCACACACTGAGGTAGGATGACTTGCCAGTCACTCAGCAAGTCAGCAGGCGGGGAGGACTGAATCCCAGCCTGAGAGCACCGAAGCTTGTGTCCCTGCAGTACGGAGCCCCAAGCCTGCGCGCCCTGGTGCCCATCTCTGAGTTGGGCCGTCTTGGAAGGGTTCCCTTCCTCCTCCAAGATGGTGTGTGAGGAGCCTTCAGTACGACCCAGGGTGTAAAGTGTCCAACTCTAGTCGGGGCTTGATGGTGTCCCCGCCGAGTACCAGGAGAGAGAAGACCCCTTCCTGGAGTCCAGGGCTCCCAGGAAGAAACTGGCATTTGTGCCTTTGCTGCGGCTTCTGGAGGCGGAGACTCTGAGCCCTGGGAGAGCCTTCCGCAGCCCTGTTTCCTCAAAAATCCAACCTGCCCGGGTGGCGGGTCCTGAGCTGTGCTCAGGAAGCTGGAATCTGACCCTGGTGGCGTCGGGCCCGGTCTCCATGGCAGCCGAGCATTTATTACCCGGGCCTCCACCCAGCTTGGCAGACTTTAGACTTGAGGCTGGAGGAAACTGAACGCGGTTCTGGGAGCAGCGAACGCACGGGTGGCAGCCGGGGCCCCAGGATGGTGAGTGAGGGTCTGTGTGGGCCTGGCCAGGGCTGGGGGTGTGAGCCTCAGGTGGAGCCCTCCCCTGACTGCTTTCCTTTCTCTGCTGCAGGCCAAGTTTCTTTCCCAAGACCAAATTAATGGTAGGTTGGGTTTGTTCTTTAATTAGCAACTCAGCAAAACATGGGTCTCATTAGGCAGTTTGCTCTGCTCATGTTTTCTTGGTGGGAAGGAAGGTGGCTGGGGGAGAGCTGGGCCCACCCACGGGGCCAAGAGCTGCAGGGAGGCAGCCGTCGGTGGGCTGGGGGTCGGGGGTGAGCCTCCAAAATAGAAATGTGGCTTTATACGTGTCAGTGTGATTTACAAGCCAGGGCGCTAAGACAGAGCCCACTAGGTTTCCCTCCAGAGCCTGACCAGTTGGATTTGGGGACTGAGGGGACTGGGGATGGAGAGAGAGACCATTAAAGGTATGGCTGACAGCAGGGAAAGAGGAGGGGCTTTGTAACTGAGACAGAACAGAGGCCAGGTTTGCACTCTCCGGCAGGATGCGTCTACTCTCTGGGCCTCAGTCTCCCTATCTGTAAAATGGGAGGGGGTCCACTGAGTCCCCTTTGCCCTGGCATCAAGCCTGGTTTGGGTGTGAGCACTTCATTCCCTGGGTCCCCTCCTCTGCCAGCCCTCGACCAGGCTTCAGTTTCACACCGTGCAGGTTCTATTTCCACAAGGCCAAGAGCACAAAGGGTTGGGTTACAAAGAACTCAGGGGCCCAGACCTGAGCCAGGGGAGCCTCATGACTGCAGCCCCCCTATACCTGGCAGGAGAGGCCCAGGAGGCACAGCCAGCTGCTGCTTGAGGTTGTGACCCTGAACCTGTCCCAACAGTGGACATCAATGGGCCTGAGAGTCCCCCAAGGCATCCCTATTCCTCCAGGTCTCTGCTGAAACATCGCCTTCTCAGTGAGTCCTTCGCTGACTACTGGAGCTAAAATTACAGGTACCAAGACCGGGCGCGGTGGCTCACGCCTGTAATCCCAGCACTTTGGGAGGCCAAGGCGAGCAGATCACGAGGTCAGGAGTTCGAGACCAGCCTGGACAATATGTTGAAACCCCGTCTCTACTAAAAATACAAAAATTAGCTGGGCATGGTGGTGGGTGCCTGTACTCCCAGCTGCTCAGGAGGCTGAGGCAGAAGAATCGCTTGAACCCAGGAGGCGGGGTTGCAGTGAGCCAAGATCGTGCCACTGCACTCCAGCCTGGACGACAGAGTGAGACTCTGTCTCAACAACAACAAATTACAGGCACCTTGGGCCCTTGTGATCCAGGGTAGGGTCCTGAGAGCCCAGCCAAGTGGGGTTAGGGTTACCCGGCCAGGAGTTCCAGAGTTCTGGGTATTCTAAGCTTGGTCTAGAGGGGCAGGAATTGTGAGCTCCAGGTGGGCACCTCCATGTAGACCCCTCAAACTCTTTATCCCAAGAGGAGGGCCAGGGCAGGAGCAGGGACTTTTAAAACACAGGGCCCGGGGCAGCACCCTCTTGTCCAGGTCTAAAGGTGATACTGAATGGTGGACTGAGGGCTGGAGTTCAGCTCTCAGCCTCAGCATCCTCCCACCCATGCCTGGTTTTAAGGCTCACTGACCCTCCCTCCTGGGATGACCAAAGCTCCCAGAAGGGAAGAAGGTAATTTCTCTTTGTATCCCAGTATCTGACACCAAGAAAGTGGCCACCAATGTTTAACGAGTGTGTAAAAGACTGGACGGGGTGGCCTAGCGAAGTGGAAAGAACAGGGGCTTTGGAGGCAGCAGACCTGAAGCCTAATCACCCTGAGCCTCGGTTTTCTCACCTGTGGAGTAGGGATATGCCACCTCACCAGGCTGCTGCGAGCCAGGGACAGAGGGGGATAATGTCAGTTACGTGCTGGATGCTGGGCCAGGCACACGCAGGTGTCACCCACATGTAGGCTGGGGCTGGCTCACTACAGCTAGCAAGAGCCATTTTTTGGGAATTTTGCAAGCAGGATGTTAAAGCCAGCCATTATTAAATAATGTAGGATCAAACAATGTTTCAGTCCCTACATCTATCTATACAAAAAGTTAAAAAGACAGCCCTATTGTGATCAGTAGAGCTGGTGATTTTAAATAGGTTTCAATTTAATGAATGTATTTGGGACAAGGGTGAGAAATAGTTTAACAGTAGATCACATCAGATTTTTCATTGGAAAAAGAATCACACTCATTGGCATACAGCTTCATTTGTCAAATCATGGTCGAATCAAAACTATAAGTTGGCAATGGATATAAGAGTTGGCAAAACTTGGGCTGGGCACGGTGGCTCACATCTGTAATCCCAGCACTTGGGGAGGCCGAGGCGGGTGGATCACCTGAGGTCAGGGGCTCAAAACCAGCCTGGCCAACATGGTGAAACCCCATCTCTACTAAAAATACAAAACTTGGTGGGCGCGGTGGTGCACGCCTGTAATCCCAGTACTTTGGGAGGCCAAGGTGGGCAAATCACCTGAGGTCAGGAATTCGAGACCAGCCTGCCAACATGGCAAAACCCCATCTCTACTAAAAGTACAAAAAATTTAGCCGGGTGTGGTGGCAGGTGCCTGTAATCCCAGCTACTCAAGAGGCTGAGGCAGGAGAATCACTGGAACCCAGAAGGCAGGGGTTGCAGTGACCTGAGATCAAACCACTACACTCCAGCCTGGGCAACAAGAATGAGATTCTATCTCAAAAAAAAAAAAAATAGCCGGTCGTGATGGTGCATGGTGCATGCCTGTAATCCCAGCTCCATGGGCGGCCGAGGCAGGAGAATCGCTTGAATCTGGGAGTGGAGGCTGCAATGAGCCAAAATCGTGCCATTGCACTCTAGCCTGGGCAACAAGAGTGAAACTCTTTCAAAAAAAAAAAAAGAGTTGGCAAAACTCATTCGTAGTAATCAAGTGGCCAGATGGAATTTATTTATTTGAGACAGAGCCTTGCTCTGTGCAATTGCATGATCTCCGCTCATTTCAACCTTCACCACCCAGACTCAAGGGATTCTCCCACCTCTTTCTCCTGAGCAGCTGGGACTACAGGCACGCACCACCACACACAAAATATTTTTAAATATTTTGTAGACATGAGGTCTTACTATATTGTCTGGGCTGGTCTCGAACTCCTGGGCCCAAGTGATACTCCTGTCTCGCCCTCCCAAAGTGCTGGGATTACAGGCGTGAGCCACTGCGCCCAGCCCTAGATGGAATTTATAATAAAGAATAGTGTACATTTCCGTATTAATTGTAAGTTGTGTGCTACTCATCCTTTATGTTTGTACAGTGCAGGGGACACAAGTACATATATGATCAGAACTGATGGTTAAACATCCAGCACAGCTGGTGTTATCCTAGGCCTTGCGCAGGTCTCTTTCTTGTCCCGGGGGATTTGCATTTTCAAAGAGAAGACTTAAAGGGGATTTTTAATCCAATTCATTTAACCCAATTAATCCTTTCATTCAACAAATGTTTGTGTCCCTTCTTTGTGCTAGCCCCGTTCCAGGCACTAGAGCTACAACAGCGAACACAAAGACAAAAACCCCTTCCTCACGGGGGTCACCATCGAGGGAGGGGAGCGTGGTGAAATATAGGTGCTAGTATGTTAGAGGGCCGACCTGGCAGGAGGAAGAGCAGGAAGGAGAGCCAGGAGGTGAGGAGGGAGAGTGGAGAGAGGGTGGAGGAAGGGGCCAGCGGGAACCCTGCTGTCTGTTCCAGTGCAGGAATTCCAAGTTCACATCTGGCCTTCCAGGTCTTTAAAGGCGTGTGAGGCAGGGAGACGGCACATATCTGATGTGAAGGTTTGTTAGGAGTTGGGCCTCTGAGCCCTGGCGCTGCTGCTGGCAAGGACCACAGGTCCCCAGTGACTGACAGGGCTTGTCAGGGAGTGGTGAAGTGCACCCATCTGCAGATCCAAGCTGATTCTGGACCCCAAGGGTGCGATGAGCACCTTCCAGCACAGGTCAGGCAGGGACGGCAGTGGGCCCCTGGCCCTCCCTCACCCAGGGGCAAACCCAGACAGAAAGACAAGGTGGGGGTGGCCATGAGAGGTCCCAGGGGCACCCCCTGCAGTGCTAAGGTTAAGCTCTGTGATTGGGCAGCCCTCTCTCTGTCCCCCTGACGTGAAGTGATGGCGTTGTCCCGTCTGGCACTGGGCCCTCTTGCAGGCAATTTGGTTTTATGGGAATCAAAGCTGGGGTCTTAGGCCAGGCTCTGGCCCTGCTTCCTCTGGGCCGCTTCGGCCCCTGCCACCTGGTCCTGTCTTTGGTTTGCCCCTTTGGAAGCTCAGGCTCTGGAACGTTCTGAAAGGGCAGGTGTGTGGGGCTGGGGGTTTCCTCTCAGTCTCTCCACAAAGGCCACGAATTTGTCTCTAAATGGTACATGGCAATCTGCCTGTCTTTAGTGACACTCCTGAAATCCTACCAGGGAGGCCTGAGTGCCTTCATTAGGGAGTATGAAGGGACCCCTGGTCTGGGCTAGGGATTTGAGGGGGCTCCTTCTACGTCCTCTCCCTCACTCTGCTGCACTCAGCGGTGTTTGCCCTGGAACTGAAGGCAGTGTGGCCTGGCGGGCAGAGCTGCCCACAGCCAGGCTGTCAGTGTTGCAGCCCTCAGTGCCCTGTCTGCACATGGGAATATGAGGAGCGTGTCACAGGGTGGTGGGGATGAAGCGAGGGCCTGGGGGCAGAGTGCTCAGCAATGTGAACTGTCATTGTTGCTGTCATCAGCTAAGGTGCTGTTGTCCAGGCCTCTAAGGACCCACCTGGGTGGTGTGAGAAGCAGGAGAGAGAACAGAGCCCTGAGCCCCAGCCTGGGATGGCCAGCGCCAGGCCACTGGGTTCCCACGGCTCCACCCACAGGCCCGGGTGCCTCTTCTGAGCTGGATGAGAGTCTCCCTGTCCTGATGGCAGCCCCACCTACCCCCGAACCAGACATTCAGTCAGTGCGGCCCAGGGACTTTCCCTGAACTCCCAGCTGGCCTTCCTGGGACTCCCAGGGCTGGGAGCCCGTGGGACGGCTGTGTCAGGCCAGGAGCCTGTGGGACAGCGGTGTCAGGCCGGGAGACTGTGGGTTTAGGGGAGCCTTAGCTCCGGCTGCCTTCCACCTCTACCAAGTACTGAGGGAGAAACGGCTTCAGACCCTGGGAGAATTTCCCAGCTGGACCCTTTGAAGCCTCTAAGAACAGGACCAGGGCCTGAGTCCATGGATAGCTTGAGGGTTCAGCAGCCTGGAGGCCAGGGCGGGAGCAATAGGCTCAGAAATGCCCCAGCTCTAATGATGATAATATCACCATATGAGGGCCACTCTCTGCCAGGCCTCCTGGGATTTCTGGCTCTCACAGTAATCCTGAGGCCTTATTATTCCCATTGTCCAGAAAAGTTGTGTTTGCAGAGGTCCCCTGGGGGTCTGGACGCCTTGCTGTGGGTTTCTGGTCTCCGCTGTGAGCCCTGGAGGGGTACTGTGCTGGGAGTTGTAGTGCTGAGGGTTGGGGGGGAGGGGGAGGGAGAAGGAAGGGAGGGAGTAGGGAGGAAGGGAAGAGGAGCCAGATGAAATACAGGATACCCAGTTAAATAGAATTTCAGACAACAAATACTTTCTCAATAGAAGTATATGTCCTATGCAAAATTTGGGGCATACAATTAAAATGTATTCAGTGTTTTTCTGAATTCAGTTTAACTTGGCAGTCCTGTATTTTCATTTGCTATATCTAGCACCCTTGGGAGGGGAGGGGAGGGGAGAGAGGGATGGCGGGAGTGGGCAAAAGGAAGGGGAAGAGAAAAGAGGGAGAAGAGACTGAGGACAGGGAGGGCGGCATCAGCGGAGAGTGACCAGACGCTGCTGACCCTCCCTCTGGGCTGTGCGCAGAGTACAAGGAATGCTTCTCCCTGTATGACAAGCAGCAGAGGGGGAAGATAAAAGCCACAGACCTCATGGTGGCCATGAGGTGCCTGGGGGCCAGCCCGACGCCAGGGGAGGTGCAGCGGCACCTGCAGACCCACGGGATAGGTGAGTGGTGGTGGGAACAACGCTGAGTGGGGAGGGGCCCGGCAGGTGGGTGCAGACGGTAGAGGTGTGAAAAGCTCAGCAGTTTGAGGGGCAGCTGGCAGGCAGGCCTCCTGGGGACCCAGCTGTGGCAGCCCCAGACCAGGAGTGCTGTGCCTTACTTCGACTTCCTGGAATCCTCATAGCAATCAGTGATACCTCATCTCACAGACCTCGGGATCTAGGCGTTCCAACAGACTTATCAAACCCAGGGAAAAGCCGCGCTGACAGCAAGCCCAATGTTTTATAGAAACATTTCCCTTTGTTGAGTATTTGTCATGTGCTTACCTCCAAAACCCTACGAAGTAGGCATTCTCTTAACCTCATTTTCTCTTTTTTTTTTTTTTTTTTGAGATAGAGTTGCTCTGTCGCCCAGGCTGGAATGCAGTGATGAGATCTCGACTCACTGCAACCTCTGCCTTCCAGGTTCAAGTGATTCTCCTGCCTCAGCCTCCTAAGTAGCTGGGATTACAGGCGCCCACCACCACGCCTGGCTAATTTTTGTATTTTTAGTAGAGACGGGGTTTTGCCATGTTGGCCAGGCTGGTCTCAAACTCCTGATCTCAGGTGATCTGCCTTCCTCGGCCTCCCAAAGTGCTGGGGTTAGAGGCATGAGCCACTGTGCCTGGCTTTCTCCTAACCCACTTTACAAGCAAAGATCAAGGTTTACAGCCATTAAGTTCTTGAGCCAGTGATGGCATCAGGATTAGAACCCAATTCTTCTGATACCAAAGACTGACCTAAAAACTATGCAATAGTTTTTAGAAAAACTATTGCTAGAAAAAAAAAAAAAAAAATGCCGAAAGAAAACCCATCCAAAATGTTACCAGGTAGTTCTCTCTGGTGATGGGATTATGGGTGATTTTTATTTCTTTTATTGTTGTTTCCTGTATTTTCAACAATGAGAACATATACGGCTTTTCAGTCAGAAGCAGATTTTATGTTTTGTTGTGTTTTTTCCTAAGAAAAAAAGGAGTAGTTTCAGAGGCTGGGGTGGCTGTTTGCATTGGAGGCTGGACACTCAGGAAGGAGGGACTGGCCCAGGGGAATGGGGTCCCCTGGGAAGAACACTTGACCCAGAGCCCACAGGCTGCTGCTCAGTCTCAGGACCCCAGCTTCCTCATCTCATGGGGGTCACCACCATCTGCTAGGGTTACCGAAGGCCCCACTAGAGGATGCCCGCAGTGGCGCTGGGATCCTGCCCTGGGGCAGGCCACGCTGGGCCCAGGTGGGCCTCTGAAGGCCTGCAGCCTGGCAGTGGGGTGCTCAGTGGTCTGATACCTGAGATCCCCCATGTCCAGCTCCAAAGCGGTAGTGGTTTCCTTGATTTCTGTCTCGTCTAAACAAATAGGAAGTTGTAGTCAGGGGAAGTTTTGATTTCCTGCAGTTACATCCCAGCCAGGGCGCGTGGAGGAGGGGCTGGGGTGGAAACTGCAGTGAGGGGAAGGCAGGTGAGCAGCCCAGCCTGGGACTGAGGCTTGAGGCCGCAGGTGGGGGCGCTGATCCATCCTGGTAGATGTGCTGTGGTGGTTGTCAAAGGTGGAATGGACACATGGACCTGTTTCCCTCCAGTTCAGGGCAGGAGGGAAGCGCTAGAAGGGAGTAGAGGAGCCCAGTCCTCCATCTGTGGATGGGACCCCGCTTTCTTGAGTTTTGGGGTGATGATAAGCATCATCACTGAGGACGTTGCTGAAATGAAGAATGTCCAGTTCAGTGAGGGGCCCGTTGTGGGAACTTGGTGGGAGAGGCTGCATCCTCTTCACTGTGACCACTGCCACATCCTGGCGTTCCCTGGTCAGTGACCCTTGAACTGGATGTGCAGGTCCAGCAGGAGGCTAACTGGCTTCCCAAGAGCCTTTTTCCCTCTGCTCACTCTGCTGTGTTTGTGGGTTTCCTAGATGGAAATGGAGAGCTGGATTTCTCCACTTTTCTGACCATTATGCACATGCAAATAAAACAAGAAGACCCAAAGAAAGAAATTCTTCTAGCCATGTTGATGGCGGACAAGGAGAAGAAAGGTTACATCATGGCGTCCGACCTGCGGTCAAAACTTACGAGCCTCGGGGAGAAGCTCACCCACAAGGAAGGTAACAGCCTGGGGCCTGTCTCCCACCAGTCAGAGGGGGTTAGGAAGTTGGGAGGAGGGCACCAAAGCCCGGCTGATGCCACCAGGGTGGTGCAGACCATCTCTGTTGATGCATGCACAGGAGACTGTGAGCAGATGCCATACTAGGTGGGTGCTGGAGCCTGGGGAAGAACCAGGGGGCCTGGAAGGGCGCAGGGAGAAGTAGGTTGGCCCCAAGAGGCCAGGGTGAAGGGACAGCTGGGGGGAAACCCAGCTTGGACCCCACAGGGCAGGGAAGCTGGAGCGTGCAGTCCGGCCTCCCCCTGTGTTTAAGCTCTCACTGTGGGGCTTCGTCTAGTGCCTATGACAGCCCTGGGAGCACAAGTGCCTGCTTCTACTGATAAAGAAGCGGGGGAGTGAGTAGCTCCTGAGCAGCAGTGCGGGAGTGAAGGCAGGTCTAGACATCCCTGCCCCTCCTGCCATCACAGCAGTCTCTGCAGTTGCTGCTGAGGTTGAGTTTCCGAATTGAGGTGCTGCTTTGCTTCCTTTCCAACTCAGGCTGCTCTAAGCTCTTCCAGAAGGGGGCTCCACAGGGAACTTTGCCAGGACACTTGGAGAACTGCCGAGACAGGCGGGGTTCCTGGTCCCAGAGCCCCGTGAGAAGGGGTCTCTCTGCCTTGTGCCTTCCTGCAGCCCAGCAGGCCTTCTTGCCTCAGAGCAGGACAAAGCCTGGGGTTTTCTAGGAAAGCCCTTTGTACACACTGTCAAAGGGACCCCCCACGCCGGGCCATTTGCAGCCTTTGTTCTTCCAGTCTGCGGACCCTCCTGCCCAGCCCTGCCACATCAGCAGCAGCCAGCCAGCTCTGCCTCTGCCCAAGGCCAGGGACCCCGACCTCAGAGCCTGCGGTTTCTAGTTAGGCTGCCCTGCTGGCCTGTGGTTGGGACAGGAGAGCTGGGCTTGGCCACAAGTGGGTGCTGAAAACAGGCTTCAAAATGATGGACTTTCCGTCCCTGGTTAAATCACCATAAACCACTGGAGGAGGGGTTTGAGGTTGTGGTTTGAATCCTGGGTGCTGGGAGACCTCTCTCCCACCTCACTTTCCTTGCTAGAAATGAGGGTACAAAAGGTGACCCCTCAGGTCCCTCTGAGCTACCACTCTACAAATCAGTCTGCTCAGATTTTAGCTGCCGCCATTAAGGCACAGTGCAGAGAGTTTAAAAATTGCCTGACATAAAACTTAGCCAGGCGTGGTGGCGCACGCCTGTAGTCCCAGCTACTCGGGAGGCTGAGGCAGGAGAACAGCTTGAATCTGGGAGGCAGAGGTTGCAGAGAGCTGAGCTTGCGCCACTACACTCCAGCCTGGGGAACAGAATGAGACTTCATCTCCAAAAGTAAATAAATAAATAAATAAATAATCAATCGCCCAACAGCAGGCTGGGTCTCCATACCCCACTTTCCCAGGCTCACCTCTTGTGGCTATTTTCACATGGACAGGGAAGACATGGGCCGTCCTTCCCTCCCAGACTCCCCGCAGGACACCGCCCAGCCCTCTAGGCAACAGGTGGAGTCAGCAGAGGGAGCAGGGCCTTATTTTTGTGGTTAATGATCTCTGTCCTAAAGCAATGCCGCAGACTCTCATACATCTCTCATAACCAGCAGAGGAATGTTTCACAGAAACTGGTGAGTTCCAGACAAGCAGGGACACTGATTTCCCTGTCACTTGCCACGGGAGATGGGAAGAATGATACCAGCAGCAGGAATCCTTTCTCTGGGTGATCGAAAGACAATTTTCAGTTTGATTAAAAAACATCCCTGGAACGGCTGCGGGTGAAGCCTTTTCCTCCTGAGGCCTGGGACGGGCTGACTTCAGCACTGGCTTTTTATGGGTCTTTGAAGTGAGACGGAGTGAAAGGCTATTCTACTCAGGTGTCCTCAGCACCTGGCTAAGTGCTGGCCCTCGCCCAGATGGGAAGAGGCTGCAGTGACTGGCCCTGGAGCTGATGTTGGCCTGCCCCCCAGGATGGTTTTAGCCAGCTGGCTGATTGTAGAAACTTCTCCACAAAATGAGATGAATTAGTGTCCTCAAATTCTCCCAATACTCAGAACTACTATCAGCTTAGGCACAAGGCACGGTGATTGTACTTTCGAGGATAGTTAAGCACAGAATCACAGGATATTTTCTGACTGACTACAGGGGTGTGTGTGTGGAAGGTGTCCAGGCCTGGGAAGTTGACACAGGGCAGTGAGATGAGGATGGGCTAAAGAGGCATGGTAGGTTGGCCCCAAGAGGCCATTGTGGAGAATACAAGCTGAAATGGCTCTTGCCAACGCCTGGGACAAGCTAGTATTTTATCCCAGGAATCCAGAACCAGAAGAAACAAGCAAATGAAGTTCTTTTTTTTTCTTTTTTTTTCTGGAGCGATGGAGAACAATGGCAGTCTTGTATGCTGTGAGCTCTCAACACAGTTGGATTTATTTTTCTCTCATAAAAACCCATCCCCCAAACATACTTTTTTTTAGAAGTGATGGTAGCAGACAGTGCTTTTCACTAAGTCCTCTCTTGGGGTGGGGGCAGGGGTGGTGAGGAGCATTGGCTTAGGGGAGAAGGCAGGCAAGTGAGGGGCAGGCCGAAGCCTGGGGCTGCCGAGGATGTTCGCTCTGCCTGCAGGCTGAGCTGGTGGAAGGTAAAAACTCCAGGACAAAGGTTTCTAGAAATAGAGGCACAGGGGTCATATTTTCATGAAAAAATAAAAATAAAAGCACAGGGTGGGCCAGGCACAGTGGCTCATGCCTGTGATCCCAGCACTTTGGGAGGCTGAGGTGGGTGGATCACCTGAGGTCAGGAGTTCAAGACCAGCCTGGCCAACATGGTGAAACCTTGTCTCTACTAAAAATAAGAAAAAATTAGCTGGGCGTGGCGGCACGTGCCCGTAATCCCAGCTACTCGGGAGCCTGAGGCAGGAGAATCACTTCAACCTGGGAGACGGAAGTTGTAGTGAGCGGAGATTGCGCCATCGCACTCCAGCTTGGGCAACAAGAGCGAAACTGTTTCAAAAAAGAAAAAAAAAAAAAGCCCAGGGTGGCATCAGTGACCAAATCCTTACCAGTACACCTCCCTACTCCCTGCCCCTCAGAAAGCCTGATTAGCTCTAAATGGAATCCGTGGTCTCAGGAGGGCAGGGGTGGGTTGTCCCTTTCTGTTCACTGGTTTACTTCCTGGTCTATAGGAATAGTCAACTGGACACTCAGGGAAGACCTTAGGGGAGCTCCAGTCCCCAAAGAACTCACTGTTTTATAATGGAACACTAAAGCCAAACTGAAAAATTAATGTGATTTATTGCAGTGGATGATCTTTTCAGGGAAGCAGGTATCGAACCCAACGGCAAAGTGAAGTATGATGAATTTATCCACAAGATCACCCTTCCTGGACAGGACTATTGAAGGAGGAGAATGCGAGAGCCTCCCCTGGGCCTGAAAACTTGGAGCGATTAATTTTTAAAAAGAAAAGTGTTCTTTTCACTTGGGGGAGATGGCAAACACAGTGGCAAGACAACATTACCCAACTACAGAAGAGAGGCTAACTAGCGACAATAATAGATGATTTCAGCCATGCATGGTATGAGCAGATCTTTTTAATAAAAGATTTGTATTGATTTTATTAACTACCATGAGTCCGGCCCTTTCAAGCATGGAAGGAGCCTGTGGTTTGGAGTCTGGCCTGGGTTCCAGTCCTGGCTCTTCTGCTTCCCACTGTGACTTTGGGCAAATCATTTCACCCCTCAAAACTTCGGGGCCCTCACACAAGCTGGATTCCCACTTCTTACCTCATGGAGCCTGTTGAGGAAGGATTGAGCTAATGACTTAAGGGTAATCTACCAAGAGACTTACTCTGTATTTGGGGGCTAGAACCATCTTCCATATTTCCAAGATGAAGCCAGTGCTAGCTGAGAAGCTGCAACAAACAAAAAGCTGTAACACTTATGACAAGTCTTGCGGTGCCAGAGGCCCATTTACAAATTCTCATTTCTATCTCAATAGATACAGTGACAAAGCTCAGGCTATTGGTTCATAAACACAGAGTATAGAGTGAAAACTTTGTAGAGTGAAAACACATGCTACAATGAGGCAGCATCAGCTGAGAGCGGGAAGAGTGATCTACTTTACACCTCACACCAAAGCAAACCAGATGTGAGCGGCTGAATTCACTGGCCTTGCAGAGCTCAAGAAGGGGGCTTCCAATGCTGTGAGAATTCTGAGCTGTTCCCTGGGCTCTGTTACCAGGCAGAGAGGTTCCAGGGAGGTCTGCTTAAGTGGCCCACACTGGTCATAGCCTTAAGCCACTTCCCCAGGACTTATGGAGAGAAATAAGGGGATGGAACCAGCAATGGCCAGGGTACAATAGCCCTGGAAAACAGTAGTAGGAGCACTAGGCTTTCTGGAAGTCCATCCAGCTCGAGTGGCTTTGAGTTAGCCAGAAGGTGCCAGGTTGGTGCTGCCAGAGATTCAGAGGTGCCATACACTTGTCAAATCTGGATCATTCATAGTGCCAGCACAGTCCTAAAAAGGGCTGGAGTACCACAGCAACACAGGAGGGGCTGCAGGGCTCCAAGTGCAAAGATTTTCATGTATGTATCAAAAGTGGGTTCTCTGGGCTGCGGCTTTGTCTAGTGGTGCCACAGGCTAAAGCAGAAGAAAACCAAATCAAACGGGATGTGTCTTTTGGGAAGATGTACAAGACACAAATCTTCCACTAGGCACCGGGCACAGGGAAAACTGCAGGGAGCAAGAGTTGTAGTGTTAGTGCAACTGTCTCAACAATGCCGTGTGGCTTCAGACCCAAACAAGGCCCTGAGGAAGGAGACTCTCATTTCCCCAAGCGTAACTGCAAAGGGAGTAAGTGGGAATTCCTAGGAGCCACAGAGAAGAGTTTTGTGGGGGTGAGAGTAAGTAAATGGTCGAAATGCCAACTAGGTGAAATTGTGACTATCTGGCTGGGAAGCCCAGGTCCGCACAGTGTAGAAGCAGATGTTTTGTGGGATCTGAGGTTTATAAGATTTGGCTGCCTTAAGAATACAAAAACAGAAATGCAGAATTTCTGGGGCTGCTCCCAGGACCAGGGCAAGTGAGGGGTCCTCATGCTTAAATTTCATTACCTTCAAGGTAAATCCACCAGAGGGCCGGTTAGACGCTGCCCACCCCACCCCCCACCTCCCCCCAAGAGATCTGCTGTCACTTTCAGGCAAAGCTCAAAGGTCCTAGGCCGGCACCTCTTTTGAGCTCCAGTCATGGACATTAGGAAGTAAATCCTGCACAGCCAACCTGGAATACCAAAGATTAGATGGGAGATAGATACCAATGATTTAGATGGAACAGGAAGAGCAAGTTCTGGCTATAAAAAATGAGGGTACTTTCCGTCAAAGCTTTTCTATGTCTGTATTTATCACTGAATAGTCCCAGTATGGCTTTAAAGCAAGTTTTATGCATCTCATTGGCCTAACGGGAATCTGAAGTATAGCTTGCCAAAAACACACAGCTGGTGTGGAATTCGAACCTGGGGCTCCTCTTCACAGACTCCCTGCTCCTCATTAAGGGGATCCAGTGGTCCAGAACCTAAGATCCTGTGAAGTGTTCCGATTCAAACCTCTACCGGAGGAAGGGCTATTATATTACTCCTGTCCTGGTTTCAAGCTCATTCCTGAAATTCCAGCTGGTTTCTCTAGCACCTAGTGTTGTTTACAAGAAGGCCACGGTGCTCTTAGCATTCAAACTGCAGATGCTGAACAGATGCTGTGATTTATTAAAGAGCTAGCCATATTTCAACAAGAGAGGGAAATGATGGCTATATATTCATTACTTACCTCAAAGCATGCTGCAAGAAAATTAGTTACTTGTCATGCTTTGAAATCTCTGGATGAAAGGTGCTTTGGAAGCACAAACCATTATCACTTGTCTCACAGGGATTTTGTCCCCTTGAACACCCAGCAGTGTTATTTTACAGAAGACAAATTAACTGAAGGCTTTTCTTTTATTACATCTAAAGAGCTCTACATAAACAGGTAACATTCAATAGGTAAACAATTTTTTTTCCAATGCATGTAATAAATATTTTCACTTGGTACTTTTATACAAACTGACATTGTCTACTATACATTTTTAAAAGCCATTTTACTGGTTTGGCATGCGGTATGGAAATTCTAAGAGAGAAAGTTTTAAGGCAATGAATCACAGATTTAAGTTCATGGAATTTATGGTAACTTTATCTGTTTATATACATTTTCCCCTTTGTTAAACAATTAACAGCAGCACACTCTGGGACCACCAGCTATTTTCCCTCCCTCTTTCTGAAATCTAAGCTTTATGTTTAAAAAACAGAATTCAACATATATTGATAAAACAAAATTCTTACTAAAATAATTTCAAATGTGCTTTAAAAAGTCCTGAAGATCTTGAAAGTTTTATGTATTTAAAATCGAAATTGTTTTAAAAACAATGCTCTTTCCATATTAACTTAGAGTTAGGATATCTTTTCATTCCATTTCAGACACTTGACTCAAAGGAAAATCTACCAAGGAATCAGAGTTTTCAGAGCTTACGTGAATCTTTCCTAAGTCAGTAAAGATACAGAATTGTGATAATGTCTACATAATTAGTAAAGCAATTTTAATGCTCAAAATAGTCAACCAAGCGTGGCATGGTTCTGGTTCAGTTTTTTTTTTTTTTTAAAGATGTATCCAATAACGCTCACAAAGTAATTAAAAGCCACTTTAACCCTGCTAGTCAAATAGCTATTTTATCAAAGATGTGTGCATACAGATGTAAATATACACACACACACAGTACTGTACAGAAACAAACATATGCATACCTACTATGAATGGCCAAGGCAAGGGGGATAATGGCAACTTGACTAGATTCTGAGAACTGCTATTTGTCCACAGATAGCATGTCAATGTTGGCATGGGCTGGGGAGTGAGGGTAGCCTAAGAAAAAAAGAGATGAAGTGACTCTGTGCTTTTCTTTAAACTTAGGAGTTAAAGACATAGTACATGACTCTACTAGTAATTAGTAGAGATCATGAAGTGTGATTGATATTGACCATGAGGCCAACAGAGTGACAACTATTACTTAATGCAACAATTTGGAAAGTCAACAACTGATGGAAACAAACTCCTCACAGGGTGGAATGAACTATAATTAAGACAACTTCTGAATGGCTAGTTTCTCCTGTGGACACATGACCAAAACCACTGAAACCACTCTATGTTTATTTCTCCCTATTACCTGTTCTTCTCTTAGGTTGGTAAATGTGGGACACTGAGGGAAATAAACCTTCTCTACAACTGGACAGAAGAACGTAGAGGGATATGTTTTCCACTGGATCATTCAAACAGTTTGTATAATTCAGCATCATACACAAAGTTATTGATCAGAATTTTGAGACCACTAACAATGACACATAAAAAAACAGGAAGAAAACTATTCATTTTACCTAAGACAGCTGAATTAGTAAAAATGTTTCCTAAAGCAATGTAAAATCAGAAAACAAACTCCCCACAATTTTAGTAATTTCTACCCCAGTCCAAATTTAGACACAAATTATGGTACTATTAGAAATTAGCCTAAATTAATATGACATTTGCTCACTGTAATACCAGATTCATTAAAAAACGTAACTGTTTCCTGGTTAACCGACAATCTGTTTTGTTTTTTTTATTGCAAATTGTTTTATGACTATAACTCAGCCATTTGTGTGTGGAATACACATGCGTAGGGGAAGACTATGAAACTCACTTGTTACTCACACACAGTTTATAAATACATATATACACACACACATATACATATCAACACCAACTTTTTTTTCCAAAATTCAAGTCAACAATTTAGTGGCAGAGAGATGCTATAAAAACATTATTTTTAGATGCCACACAGTCATGAGAACCATTAATTTTATCATACAACTGAAGTACAGCCATCTTGAATTCTACCTGGATTAAAGTAGATCATTTTGTTACCAATGCAAGGTTTAAAACTACAAATGTATACACAAAGGTGGTCCTTCATCAACTCTGAGAACATTAACAGTTGTGGTAAGAAAATCCAGTCTGGAAAAACGGCAATCATTATGCCCCTTCTTTATGTTTTCTGTTAAACCTGCTTTCTCAATCAACTAAAAAATATTTTCCACACCTGAGAACATCATACCTTCTCTGATGAGGATTTTGGAACGTAAGTAGAACCACTTTTCCTTCCCTCCAACTCATATTTCTCTCCTGAAAAACAGTTTTCAATATATTTACATGTTCCATTATGAATAAGAGTAGATCAGACTGATCCATGAATTCTAAAAAAATGACTTTCCTATGTCATACTTGTTAAAAGGTGAAGAAAAAGATAAACAAGGTAGATATGCCAAGAAAATAGGTATACTCAGAACCAAAGAGTAAAAATGACTAAGGGTCAAACACATCTTGAATTTCAACTGTTTATCAAATAGTAGACTTCTACAAAAATGTGGTGCATTGTACTTTCCAAACAATTTATTTTTAGAATAACTGACTGTTTATCTTTCTTTTTGAGGTGATGTAACATTACCTCTGTCAGCTGCACAAAACACCTGACAGGGCTTTCTAAGCTATTTTTACTTCCTACTTTGGTATGAAGATCTTACATGAAAAATTGTTACTCTGTGGCCAAAAAAAGCAGGTATTCACAGACTTGGTTTAAATACACAATACTGGCAATCCAGATTTAGAATAAAGAACTAGACTAAAGTGTATTATTCATAGTTCGGCTAAGCCTACTCCTTACCCAGACAGCTTTATTCCAATATCTCTAAAACATATTCTCAGGGGGTACAGAGCAAATAAGAGAATATGTGATGGAGAACATGCAGTTAGGATAGTTGATAAAGATGCTCACACGTGAGTTCAAGACCTTCAAAGCACTTTGAAAGAAGCAAGCAACTGATTATATTAACTGAATGCACACTCGGGAGGAGAGGGAACACTGATGACAGAAAAATACATACAGACGCACACAATGAACACACACCCACGAGCCATGTCCTGAAAATACACAGGGAATGCAGCGGGACAGATGAGCTTTATAACTTAAGGCTGGATAAAATATGCACACACACACAAACAGAATCCAAGTCTGTCGTTTTCAGAAAATGGAAATCAAACTATCCCCCCAACCCCCTCCCCACAACAAAGAAAAGCCCACAATTTAAAACTTCATACATGCAATTCCTTTTCTGTTATTGCAAATAAAATAATGCCATTGAAGTAAAATAAAACCAAAACCATAGGACAAATGATGAAAAATCTTCAGAATCCAGAAAAAAATGAGCTGAAGGTGGTTTGTGGGTGCTTGTTTTTTCTTTTTTCTTTTCTTTCCTTTTTTTTTTAAACAAGTGTTTTTATCACACAGGCAGTCTTAGATTTATATACAAAAGTAAAACTGAAAATATAGTTTTGTTCTCTGTACATTTCTTTTAATTTTTTCCCTAAAAAAAGGAAAAAAACACGCTTGTATACTTTTCTAAACAGAGTAAGGTAAAACAGAGCACAAAGTTCTCTTCTTTCTGCCAAGTTCATTTGATCTGGGGTGGGGATGGGAGCAGCAGGGCCTGGGAATCAGTCCAGTGAAATAATGTCTGGTATGATGCCAAAGATGGATGCCGTGTCCGTGCTGCTCCTGTTTGTGACAGTGTGGCTATGGCTCTCCCTTAGGCTGTTGGAAGAAACCAGGCTGCTGTTACTGCCACTACTGCTGCCATTGGTGGTTGGCAGAGAAGTACTGCCTCCTGCACTTAACTGATCAAGAAACATCTGTGAAGAGGTATATGGAAAAAACCGAGACGAGTGTAGGAGGTCTTGATCATCTGAAACTGCTGCTGCTGCAGCGGCAAGCAAGGAGGTGTTGTAATGCTAGGGAGGGGAAACAAAAGACACAAAAATGTTAATTATACTTCTAAATTAAAACATTTTCTCCTCAGCAGAACACAGCCCTACATTTAAGACAGTCTGAGTATCTAGGGTTTCTGAAATATTTACTAAGACATTCTGCAAAATCAAATGATCTTATGTAACGACTGGAGCATTGATCTTGGGAAGACATTTTTGTATCTGAAACTGGAGGAAAAACAAAATAAAAATTTCATTGTTTTTTGTTTTAGTTTGTATTGCAAGCAATTATCAATTCTATTTCCTAAGAAGCATACGCTCAGAAGCAGCGGGAGGGGCAGACAGTCCACCCTTTTGCTAGTAAGGAGATACTTAGCCAAGAAATCTATCAGTCAATATGACTCACTGCCCAGTTTCTTTATAAAACAGTACTGGAAACCAAGACACTGTTTTTACTATACACTCAGGCACCACTGAAAGAAAGAATTTTTATTTAAATTTTAAAGCCATAATAATGGGTATGATTACTCTGAAGTTTTCCAAGGAAATTTATTCTTTCTCTCGGCTACACATTATACTTTTAAATACAGTCATGCGTCGCTTAACGACACGGATGTGTTTTGAGAAATGCATCATTAGGCGGTTTTGTGGTTGTGAAAACATCAGAGTGTGCTCGCACAAACCTAGATGGTAGAGCCTACTACACATGTAGGCTGTGTGGTCTGGCCTACTGCTCCCAGGCTACAAACCTGTACAGCATGGTATTGTGCTGAATGCCATAGGCAACTGTAACACAATGCTAAGTATGTGTGTATCTAAACATAGAAAAGGTACAGTAAAGATACGGTATAAAAGATAAATAAATAATACACCTGTACAGGGCACTTACCATGAATGGAGCCTGCAATACTGGAAGTTGCTCTGGGTGAGCCAGTGAGTGAGTGGTGAGTGAATGTGAAGACTTAGGACATTACTGTACACTACTATAGACTTTATAAACACTGTACACTATGGCCACACTAAATGTGTTAAAAATATTTTTCCTTCTTCAATAATAAATTAACATTAGCTAACTAATTTTATTAACTTTAATTTTTTAAAACTTTGGTAACAACACTTAATTTAAAACACAAGTACATTGTACAGCTGTACAAAAATATTTCCTTCCTTATATCCTTATTCTGTAAGTTTTTTCCATTTTTAACATTTTAAAATATTTTTTACTTTTTAACTTCTTTGTTAAAAACGAAGACACACACATTAGCCTAAGCCTACACAGGGAGATCAGGGTTGTCGATGTCACTGTCTTCCACCCGCACAGCTTGTCCCACTGCATGGTCTTCAGGGAAAATAGCATGCATGGAGCTGTCATTTGCTATGACAACAATCTTCTGGCACACCCACTGAAGGACCTGCGTGAGGCTCTTCTTAAGGAGGTGTCACTCTTTTCAGAAATATGTCCATGGTGTTTTGCTTGGTTTCTTTCTTTTTTTATCATAGATTTGCTTGTAAGTAGATAATGTACCACAAACATTCCTCTCTATTAATGAGAACCTTTCATTGTTAGGACCCGTTTTTGTTTTTCTTTTTCTGAGATGGAGTCTCGCTCTGCCGCCCAGGTTGGAGTGCAGTGGCGCGATCTTGGCTCACTGCGACCTCCGCTTCCCAGGTTCAAGCGATTCTTCTGCCTCAGCCTCCCAAGTAGCTGGGATTACAGGTGTATGCCACCACACCCAGCTAATTTTTGTATTTTTAGTAGAGACGGGGTTTCATCATGTTGGTCAGGCTGGTCTCGAAATCCTGACCTCATGATCCACCCGCCTTGGCCTCCCAAAGTGCTGGGATTACAGGTGTGAGCCACCACATCCGGCCAGGGCCCGTGTTTTTAAATTTTTTTTTTTTGTTTTTTTTGAGATGGAGTCTTGCTCTGTCGCCCAGGCTAGACTGCAGTGGCACAAACTCAGCTCACTGCAAGCTCCGCCTCCCGGGTTCATGCCATTCTCCTGCCTCAGCCTCCCGAGTAGCTGGGACTACAGGTGCCTGCCATCATGCCCGGCTAATTTCTTTTTGTATTTTTTAGTAGAGACGGGGTTTCGCCGTGTTAGCCAGGATGGTCTCGATCTCTTGACCTCATGATCTGCCCGCCTCAGCCTCCCAAAGTGCTGGGATTACAGGCATGAGCCACTGCGCCTGGCCTTAAATTTTTTAAGGAGCTTGTTGAGGTCTGCAAAAGCTTCTGCTAAACCCTTCACTGTGAATTTTCTTGGCGGTTCTTTCTTTTTGTCTCCTGCAGTTTCCTTTTCTCTTGCACCTTCTGCAGCTACGTCTTCCTGTTCCAGTTCCAACAGATCCTCATTAATCAATTCCTCAGGAACCACCTCTAGGAGCTTCTCAATGTCATCCTCATCCATATCTAGGTTAAAGTTGTTTGCCATCTCAACCACAGCCTTGTTGATTTCTGCAACCTCTTCATCTTTAGCAGATTCTTTGAAGTCATGAACAAACTTCTTCAGTGTCTTCTAGATGTCATTCACATACTCCTTGGTGACACCACTCCATGCCCAAGCAAGGTTCTTGATGCAGTCATAGCTGTTGTAAACCTTCCAGAATTGCATCAGTGTCTTCTCAGTGTTTTTCAGTTGCAGCAACAGCCTGGGCAAGGATCCTCCTCAGGATCTTTTAATAGGCCTTAAAAGCTGCTACAACTCCTCCTTGATTCACTGGTTGGATCAAAGATGTGGTACCTGGAAGGAGACACAACACTGTGATATTGGGATGAAGATCACCAATCAAATGAGGATGTGTGGGAGTATTATCAACAAAAATCATAATCTTGAAAAGTATGTTACTTTCTAAATAGTACTTCTCCATTTTGCTGGCATAGCAATTCAGGAGGACATCCTGGAAGAAGAGCTGAGTCATCCATGACTTCTTATTGCTCGTGTAGTACATGGGCAGTGTGTGCTTGCTGACATGCTTGAAGGCTCTGGAGTTCTCACTGTACCAGATCACAAAGGGTTTCAATTTGTAACCTGCAATACTGCCCCAAGCGAGACTGTTATCTAGTCCTTAAAAGCCTTGAAACCTAGCATTGACTTGGCTTCTTTATGGATGAAAGTCCTTTCAGGCATTCATTTCCAGAATAGGGACGTTTCATGCATATTGAAAATTTGTCTGGCCAGTAATCTTCCTTCATAATCAGCTTATCTAGAGTTTCCAAAAATTCTTCAGCTGCCTTCACATCTGCATTTGCAGACTCTCCACTCACTTTGATATTACATAATGAATAATGATTCTTGAATCATTTAAACCACCCAGAGCTAGCAGTACATTTAACACTGTTGTTGGGTCCAGTCTTAAATTCTTTAAACATTGCGAACAAACTTTTGCTTTGGCCATGATCATTATGGTGCTGAGAGGGATATGTTTCTTCGTCTGGTCTTCCATCCAGGTCACTACAAGTTTCTCCATATCTGATACAGGCCCTTCTCAAATTTTTGTTAGTCTTGTTGCCTTCAATGAAGCAGATCCTTTAACAGCTTCTGTCACTTTGTTCTTGTTCTTTAAGACTGTGGCTATGGTAGAATGGGACTGCCTGACTGGTGAGCAATAACCATCACTGATCTTCCACCTTCATTGTCCTTAATCACTTTTAATTTTTTTGCCATGTCAATCACTCGATGTGGCCTCTTACTGGCAACATTAGCTGTGGATTTTGTATGCTTAGGGGCCATGATGAACAAAACAAGACAAGATTTAATCAAGCACAAGAGGAAATGATGCAATCAAGAGATACGGCTAACTGGGATGTATGAGGCTGTCCTGGAGTAACACTGCACACTGTTTTACAGCAAACTTAAAAAAAAAAAAAGTAGAAGATGTACACTCTAAAATAACAATAAAAAATAAAGTAAATGCATAAACCAGTAACATAGTTGTTTATTATTATATTGTACATAATTGTATGTGCGATACTTTTACATGACTGGTGGCATAGGCTTGTTCACACCAGCATCACCACAAACACGTAATGCCTTGTGCTACGATGTTACCATGGCTATAATTGATGTAGGAATTTTTCAATTCCATTATAATCTTATGGAATGCATATATGGTCTGTCATTGACCAAAATGTCATTATGCGGCACATGACTGTATTTTTAATGTACAATTAAAGTAATAGTAAATTTTTCATAACATACCTGATTGTCTCCTGATAAGAAAGGAAAGAAATCTAATCCTGTGGAAGAAAAAATTATTTCAGTTAAAAAAAAAAAAGGAAAAACTCTTCCAAATGCCCCAATACTTCAAAAACAAATACAAGTCTTAAATGCTATGTCACTCAGCATTTTATTTAAACATGAAGAGTTGAGCTAAACGCTTTATGTCTCTCCCATCTTTAGATTACTAAGGCTGAAAACTAAGCTTTGGCAATGATTTGCCTTCTCTGTGACCCCATTTGGGGGACTGAGGCCACGATCACTCTGTCAGATTTAACACTGATCCTTAACCTGGCATAGTACTTTTTAACAAATGCTCTCATGGACTCCTCTTAAGGAAACTTTCAATCTACTCTCAAAGTTACTCCTCACAAGCACTTCATGAAGTATGTAATTATTTTTGCCCTCATTTTGCAGGTGAGAAAGTTTGAAGTTGAAAGAGTTAGGTTAAATAAGTTGTAGCACTGATTTTTCTTTCTTAAATTTTGCTCACTTGCTATCAGATTCAACTGACAGACTGCAGTGGCACGAGGGGAGAAGAGATTTGAGTGCCTGAAAACTGGCTATTACATAAGAAGGAATAGCCCTGATACCTGGCTGCTGAGGATTCACTGCAAGCAGTCCCCTTCCAATTAACATTCTTTTCTAGATCACCCAATGTGTAATGCGATGAAGAGCAAGTAAACAGGCATGAATTAAATGCTTCACTGTGATATCTAAACTTGGGGAAAAGTAAAACACGCAGATGTAGATAAATATATTACAACATCACAGATACTCTGGGCATCTACTCACTGTCTACATTATAACCAATTACAACATGAGGGCTTACAAAATGCATAGCACTGTTGTTCTTGATAGTGACAGTGCGTTTCATACATGTAGAAAAAAGGTATAGAAAGATATCTAACCAACTGTTAAGAGTAGCTATAACTGTCCAGATGCGGTGGCTCACGCCTATAATCCCAGCACTTTGGGAGGTGAAGGCAGGCGAATCACCTGAGGTCGAGAGTTTTGAGACCAGCCTGACCAACATGGTGAAATCCCGTCTCTACTAAAAATACAAAATTAGCCAGGCCAGGCACGGTGGCGTGTGCCTGTAATCTCAGGTACTTGGGAGGCTGAGGCAGGAGAACCTGGGAGGCAGAGGTTGCAGTGAGCCGAGATTGTGCCATTGCACTCCAGCCTGGGCAATAAGAGCAAAACTCCAACACACACACACACACACACACACACGGCAATAAGAGCAAAACTCCGACACACACACACACACACACACGGCAATAAGAGCAAAACTCCGACACACACA